ACTAAATTTTCAAGTGCTTATCCCCTGGTCACAGCTACCAGTGAAGAAATAGCCAGAAATCTTGTACATTTTATGTCTCTCTTCGGTTTCCCTAAAACAATCTTAACGGATTTAGGTACTTGTTTTACGTCTGATTTATTTAAAGAATTAACTCAAATCTTAAAAGTCAAGGCTTTATTTACTACTCCTTACCACCCACAAACAAATGGAGCTCTAGAACGCTCACATGCTACTTTAAAAGAATACTTAAAATCTTTCGTTAATGAAAACCAGAACGACTGGCATTGTTATTTATTTACCGCAATATTAGCTTATAATACTACCCCTCATTGCACTACCAATTTCACCCCTCATGAATTATTATATGGTTATAAACCTAATATCCCTAATTCTCTATATGAAACGAACAATAATACTACTTATAATGAATATATTCGAGCTTTACAATATCGAATGCGTTTTAGTAGAGAAAAGGCCATTCAAAATATAATTAATAGCAAAGAAAAATCCAAACAATATTACGATGTAAGTTCACGCGAAATTTCGTATAAAATTGGTGACTCAGTTTATATAAAACACCATCACCGACTTCGTAAGGCCCTATCACCTATATGGAAAGGTCCATATAAAATAATAAAAGTCCATAATAAGCACAACGTTACTTTACAAGTAGGTCGTAAACATGTTAAGTATCATATAAACGAGATTAAGCCTGCTATTAACACTCCTTAAATTTAACTTATTTTATATATTTTTCAGAGCTTTATGCTATGGAAGCCAAAGCCACGCTGAGTCGAGGATCATACCTATATCACATAGTCCTGGAATTTATTTTGAACCTATTACGCATATTAACTTTTATAACGATTATTGGAAGGTTATAACACATATAGACCTTATACCTTTAGCTCCTTGTCTCAATAAAATTGAAAATTTATTATATGATACCTTAAACCTTTGTTCCAAAATAAATACTGACGAATTTTCCCAATGTAAAGATTTTTCAAATCCTATAGAGATTTTAATAAAATATAATTACGTCAAATTGCAATCCCTAGCACATATAATCGATAATAATCAATCGCCAAATAGAGTTAAAAGATCTCTAGAATTTGGAGGCGAAATTCTTAAATTTTTCTTCGGTACTCTAGACGCAGATGATGCGCGAAAATATGATGCCGCGATAGAATTATGTCGGAAAAGTGAAACAGAACTATTTAATTTATTCAGAGACAATATTCACATAATTAAATCTACCATAAATAATTTTAATGCCACTATTTATAAATTAAACCAAAATGAATTAAGATTAAACTCACAAATTAATAAAATGAATGAAATTCTTTCGCAAATCACAAAAACCGATAATTTACTTATTAACATTTCCAGAATAAATAATTTATTGAACATAATTGAAAGCTCCTTACTTGCTATTTCTAACTTGCTAGACACGACTATAAATGCTATCCTATTTTCCAAGGTAAATGTTTTGCATCCTAGCGTGATTAGCCCTTTAAGTCTTTATAATGAATTAACCAGGCATATCAATCAAATAAATAAACGTTTAGATTTTCCAGTACAATTGAACATACATAATATTCATTCGTTAATTGATGTTTCGAAACTTAGTTCATATTATTATAACAATAAGATTGTTTTCAGCTTGCAGATTCCATTAATAACACCTGATAAGTTCATTGTTTATAAAAATATCCCACTACCGACTCCTCACGACGAGTCGCATATACAAACGTTTGCACTTATTCAACCTTCTAATTCTTATATTGCTTTAAGTGACGATAGAATACATTATACTATGTTTAATAACTTAGATGATTGTAAATTTATTAATAATAACTATTCTATTTGTGAACTATTTACTATAACGTCTAGCATAAATAATCCTAATTGTGAATCGAAATTATTAACAGAAGTAACTCTTTCCTTACCTTCTGAATGTAACTCCAAGTTATTATTTGGCCAAATCAATATTTGGCATAAATTAAAAAATAATAGATGGATATATGTACAATCCAATGTAAATAAATTAACTATCAAATGTAACGATGATATTACTGATCATTCTATTATTGGCACAGGTATTGTCAAATTAACCGAAAATTGTATCGGTTATTCCAAAACTATTCAATTATTGCCAACAAGTACTTATCAATTTTCGATTAAGTCAACTATAGATATAAGCTTTGACATAACAAGAGATGATTGTTGCAAAAAAGATGTATTTAATAAAAGTTTACCATATTTAACGCCAATCTCTCTAAGCAAAGTTAACTTGGATTCCTTAAAATATGCAAATCATCAGCTAGATAGTTTAGAATTTGAATTAAATAATCTTCAAAAGGAATCACATTTTATAAAATACGGTTCATACTATTCCACATTTACTTATATTTTAATTGTATTACTATTTTTGTACTTAGCCTACAAATTATTTAAATGTTCCAGAAATCGACACAATAATAGTGAACATTGTATACAAATATTTAATCAGTGTAATAATAAAAAGTCGTCGAAACATAATTCTAAAACTACAAATTCAATTGAGATGATTGATATGTCAACATCTGAAGAAGATAATAACTCACCCAAATCTTTACCAAATTGTACTAATTGTGAACCTTATAGAACTGTACACAAAGTTCACTCTTCCTCCGGAAGAAACCTTAATTTCTAATTTTATTCAATTTTAGTTTACAAAAATGTTTGTATTAAAACAATTAATTAATTTTATTATTATACATTTTCAATTTTTACTTTGTCATTTTATATTTTGTAATTGCTACATTTTACTATTTTTTGATTCAATCTAATTGTAATAAGTATTTTTTAATTTTAAATGTGTATTGTTATTTAATTATATACAATGTTAAAATGAAAATTGTAATTGAAACTACTATTTTGTTTATTAAAAATCAATTTCTACTCGTAATTCTACTAATTCATTTAAAATACTTTTAATTCTAGATTTTACTATTTTACCTTTATATAAATTCATTGTTCTATTTTATATTGATTATTTGTTAAATCTTACGCTGTTTCTTTTACGTAACTTAGTTACAACTTACTTTATCTTTATGTAAAATCGAATAGTTCGAAGTTTTATATTGTTATAAGATAAATTTTCTATGTTTTACTATAAATTTAATTTTCTATTTCTATATTTTGTAACGCCTTCCGACCTCTAACTATTTCTCTATTTCGAAACTTCGCTTTATCTTAATTTAGAAAAAGCTCAGTCAAAAGGGGGGAGCTGTTATATCCCTTTTTACAACGCAGTTAAATCTTAGTAAGCATTTATTCAATCCCACGGTACTTTTCCTATATATGACGTCAATCAGTAATTGCATTGTTCTTTTCCATATTAATTTTATTCCATTTTACAGTTAGTTAGATTCAGAGCCCCGCGTAGATCGGACATAGACTCCGATACGTATTAGAGTTCGGAAGTCAGGGTTAATATTAATTGTGTGTGTAAACTTTTTATAATAAACCCTTAGGTTTACCTTGTGGTTTTTTTTTTTAAAAAGTCAAACGGGATCGGCCTCCTAACAGACCGTATACTTCCGAGCGCGCGGTTAGTACCATAGATAATATACTATATAGGTTAGTACTGAACTTAGCAAGTTCCTACTGCACGTTCGCTCTTTCGGATTGTGACGTCACGTCACAGAGAACGAACGGGTAAAAATGGGTAAAAATTATAAAATATTGCGAAACTTCAAAACGTTATAACTTTCGTATTTCTGCACCAATTTGGATGAAACGAAAACTATTGTTATTTTCATAAACATAGCTTTGAAGCTATATAGGTTTTATTGTCAAATTAGAACATGTTGGTGTGACCCATTGACATGGATAGCGTGTATCCTTTGTCGTGTTTATTACCTAAGTAGGTATATAAAAAAGGTATTTGGTATTTAAGAAGTTAATAATTTTGCGCTCACCAGACTGATGATGCTAGTTGGAACTGAAATGAAGTTATTTATTTCTAGAGTGTGTAAATACAAAAAACAATGCCTGAATAATTTGCTCTTTAATTTTTTTTGCACTACTTTTTGGAATATCTGTAGTTTGGTTTGTCCATTACTAATCTAATCAATAAAAAATATAAATGTTCTTTCAGAAAGAAACAACAAGGGTTACCTTACATTTTCTTAACATTAAAGCAATTTGTTTTCTTGTCTAATATTCAAACGGACCCAATTTACAAATACTCAAACTGACAAATTTTAAGCCTCCTTCTCTTGAAGTCGGCTAAAAAGCAAAACATTGTTCAAATAAATTTTTAATCCCCTGGAATATGACCTGTTAAAAACTATAATCTTTAATTCTATGTGTGGTACCTATAATATATGTATATCTTCACAAATTCATGTTTTTAAAATAAATTTGTACAAGTAAGTGCTTGCTTTTTAGTACAGTTACTTACTACTCGTACTTTTGGACGCATTTTACGAGCCCGTGTGAACAAATGATCACAAGTTAGAATGGTGTATATTGAAGTTTAGAATTAAAATGGTTATTAGTGCGCATAAGCGGACATGCTCTCGAAATATTTTATTCCATCGAAATATGAAATAAATCAGCTATTGTCAAAACAAGTGCTGATTTGAAATTGCAATTAAGAATTCCATTGGGTTCGGCGATAATCGAACCCGGTTTACCTGCGTTCTATGAAATTTGCTGCCAGCACTTGGCCTTAGTCGCTGTGCTAATGCGTCACATTCATTAAATGCAATAAAATATTATAAAATAAGTAGCGACCCACTCCGAAAAAGTCTTCGCCTGGATAAGATCTATTAATGTGGCATTATTTAGAATTAAGATATTCACAGACTATTTATTTTATCAATTTTTAATTTTTTGATACAACTCAGAGCCTTCCTGACATTGCTCTTTCTGTATGAACCTAATAAATGGTTTAACATTAAAATAATATTGCACATTTGTCATCAATATAAATGTTTATTTCGACTTACCCTTTTAACATGTTGGTATATAGAAAGCACAGGCCACAAAGAATAATGGTCGGCAATCCGATCATGAGGAATAAATTCTTCTTCATATTCCCATTTTGAATCGGTGGCAAGCCAACGCTAAATGCATATGCAATCGGCGAGCCTGTTGCGAAAAGCTGAAATATAGAAACATGATATATTAAAGTTAGAATTGAAAAGTGTATGTCCTGCTTAAAACAATGGTTATAGGTATTAGTAGGCTTTTCCTCAACAGCTAAGTGCAATTTAGATTTAAATGTAAAGACGATTTAACCGTGTAGTGGTGTTGTAAGAATATCCACTGCCCCCATATCGTCCCATGGGTGTAAGAGGCGACTGAGGGAAACATACCAGGAAATAAGCAGCAGCGTCTTCAAAAAAACTGCGGTTACCAAACCGCTTGCTAATCGTGGCAATAATGGTAAATATCCCCCCTAAGAGGCAATCTATGGGCGATGCTTATGTTCAGCAGTGGACTTTTGCTTGATAAAGTACTACGTATACTAAAAGTATAAGTAGTACTTTTTCAAGCACCGTACCACACCGCTATAACTTCTATTAAATGGTGCACTAGGGCTAGGCCATGTAATATAATATGGCAATTTTTGTTTATGATCCATTGAACTTCATCTTAAGCGAGTCACAGTCTACCCAGGTACGATAATATTTTATCTGCGTATCAAAACTTAATTATCTGAAAGTATCACACACTCGACACCCTTCAAACTTACTAGACGTGTTTTTTGGAGCGGATTGTTTATACAGAGTGTTACCTACAATGAGTAGGCGTATACTGCCTTAGATTTGTTAGACAGCTTGTCAGAATAGGATTCAGATTTTGATTTTGATGTACGTGTTGCATTAGCAAATTGACGAAAAATTTGGTTTGAACGTCATATAAAACTTAAAAAAGGACCGAGGCGAATTTAATCGCATTTTTTCAGCGACCATTCTGTATTTATCTGCAGGTTAAATCCTATGCCATATTTGTATCTGCAGATGTTATCTGTAGATATATTTGTATGAGCAGATAATATTGTACAGATAATATTGACAGCACTTTTCGATATACTGTGTTAGTTCCAGTTAGTCCATTAAATTTCATAGAGTGCGATATTGAAAGATATGCACTCAGATACAGATATCTTGTCGTATCTGCGTAGTGTATGACACGCTTTAATCCTTACATACTTGCTACTCTTGCTATTGGTTTAAAATAATAATACACAACATAACATATAATATGGACTATGTTTGAACGTTACTAGGCATACTTCAAGTATCGAAATAATATGAATTCTATTCGACACTTACAATAAAAAGTTATTTCTTGTACAATAAAAATAAATCTTACCTCATACATGGTAATTGGTATTGGCATATTTATGCTTGCTATATCCAAATTGATTAAACCAAATATAGCGAAACATTGACTGAATATGTACAGCAAAAGCAACAGTATAAATGTAAACATCATACTTTCCTGCAACAACACAAGGCAGTTAAGATATTTTGCAATAGCGTTTACAAGATGATTTAAGTATAAAATTAAATTGCTTTAAAAGTTTAGGACTTGAACAACGAGAAAGAAACGAATGGAGAGGTACATTACTTTTTTTCATAGGAGAGGGGTCAAACGAGCATGCGGCTCACCTGATGGTAAGTGACTACCGCCGTCCATGAACAACTGCAACACCAGGTAGGGAATCGCAGATGCGTTGCCGGCCTTTTAAAAAGGAGTACGCTCTTTTCTTGAAGGCCCCTAAGTCGTATCGGTCCGGAAAAATTGCTGATGGTAATCGATTCCACAAGGAAGTCGTGCGAGGAAGAAAACATCTTCTAAATCGCACAGTGGTGAACCGCCAATCATCCAGATGGTGTGGATGGTATCGGGAGTTCTGCCGCGATGTGCGTTCTTGAAATTTGGCGGCTGGGATTAATCTGAACAATTCCTCAGAGCTCTCCCCGTGGTAGATGCGAAAGAAAATGCAAATGGATGCAACATCTCTTCGCAGTGCCAATGAATCGAGCCGATCGGAAAGGAACCGGTCGTCGACGATTCGAGCCGCTCTGCGCTGGATGCGGTCAAGTGGACGGAGCTGGCACTGGGGAGCCCCTGCCCAGAGATGGGAATAGTATTCCATGTGAGACCGAACCTGCGCCTTGTAAAGTTGCAGACGGTGTGCCGGCATGAAATACTGTCCCGCTCTGCTGCCTAGAAGGTTTGCTGTTTCGCTTATCAGACAATAGAAGCATAATTTTATGCTTCAATTTAAAACCGACTTCAAAAAACTAAAAATAATAAAGTATTCACATAACAGCTTCTGAACTCTGGACTTTAATTCTCATACACTATGTCTTAGCACCGGTTTTAGTATATATTATGCGGAAAATATTTTATTCTAATAGGTTCCTTCAGCTCGCTCGTTGTGCCCGGCGGTGAAGGAAAACATCGTGAGAAAACCTGCATGTCCGAGAAATAAAAAATATTTCGCAGATATGTGAAGTCCGCCAACACGCAGTGTAGCAGCGCGGCGGATATTTCCTTGCCCTAAAACCTTCTCAGAGGTGAGAGGAGGCCTGTGTCCAGCAGTGGGACGTATATAGGTTGTAAATTAAATTTTTAACTTTAAGTTCTTTGAAGTCAGTTCTTACTTTTCATTAAAAGCTTAATGTTTAGAATTAATAATATTTATTAATTGCTTTCTTGTGTTCCTGTCAGAATCATGGCACTAATAATTGATGGAACAGGGTCCCTGTTCCATCAATTATTAAAAATTAGTCTAGCTGTAATATGTAGGTACATAATTTATTAATAATTTAATTATCACAGTCAAAATATTCTTAAATTAATTTTGTTTTTCAAATTCAGAATATTCTATTTGCCGTTAATTTATAATTAAAAATTAAAAATTTTGTACAGCCGACTTCAATATAAGTTATTAAAGAATAACTCAAATAACTAAAAAAACTATTGGTCTGACCTTGATCAAATTCAAATTCAAATTCAAACAATCATATGGGACCACACGAGAAGTATCAGCTTCCATATAAAAAAAGAATCATCGAAATCGGTCCACCCAGTAAAAGTTATGAGGTTACCTCATAAAAAAAACATACGCGTCGAATTGAGTACCGTCTCCTTTTTGGAAGTCGGCAGAAAATATGATGTATCTTACAACTTAACCAAATTTTTCGGGTATTGCAATAATAGGTCTGTGACTTACATAACTATACTGATCATAATAAATCAAAATTATAAAAGAAATTAATTATATATAATAACTTAGCTAATATAAAATTCTAAATAACAAATCGTTTTAGTTGCAGCTAAATACTCATTGAAATACAAAGTGCAAATCGCGCTCTTACTCTTTTGTTGGCTCACTTGATTCGTTCATACAGGACACAGTACAGGAGCCCGAACTCGAGTTAGAAAGATCCAACTCGAGTTAACTCGAATTAAGCGCAACTCGAGTTGACTCATCACTAGACAGGGTTTGTATAATCGCGGTGGATTTAAATCTTGCAATTTTTGTAAAATTAATTATTATCTTTATATATTTACACGAGTATCCTGTATCGGTTCAATATTGTGTTTTTTGAAAAATAATCAATTATTCTATTATAAGCAGAGTAACTCACATATCGATATCTCTTTACACTGGGCGTAATATATTCTGACCGGTGAAGGGGAACATGGTCGAAGGTGCGAGATGTCTGGTACTGCGACTGGCAATTTATCTGCCAAGCATAACAATTAAGGCCAATTCTTTCTACAAAGGGAAAGGCCTGTGTTCAGCAGTGGAAATTAGGCGCTGATGGAGAAGAAGAAGAAATTAGAAAAAAAACTTAAAATAAAAAAAATCTTAATTCAAATATCCCGAACCACGTACCTCAAGACCACACATAAACATGGCACAGACCACCATGACCACAGTCACTCCTATTACATCTGGCCATGGCTCGCCAAGGGATCGAGTCTCATAGCCAAATAACCACCTTCTCGTCCGGCCGCCAGTAACATGGTCTGCCGTGGCACTTAGAATCCTAGCGCAAATGGCTACCGCAACCAGATGCGACAGAAAGCACATCCACATTGCCATGAAATCGGCGAACGATCGCAAATTTCTCTCCCTTCTACCTCTAGGTGTTCTGGCAGGCGGAAGAATATCGGACAGTTTCCTTACGTTGTTGCAAGTGAACGCTAAAATATAAATAAAATATGTAAGAATAAAAAAAGACTGTTAGTTGTAGGAACGCACGTGAGAAGTGAAAACTTCTTAGCTTACACACACGCATCTGTATATATGTGACTACTAGTTTTTGTCCGCGACTTCGTCCGCGTAGATATTATACTTTAAACCAATTAACTTTACAGTTTTTGCACCGCACTTCAAAATAGCTCGCAGATGACAGATTTCATCCGACTTACGTAACAATTTACACAATATCATTATATATTATAGCTATAAATATATTTTTTTTATAGAATAAGGGTGACAAACGAGCACACAGACCACCTGATGGTAAGTGATTGCTGTGGCCCATAGACATCTGCATCTATCCTCAATAAAGAATTAAAATGCAGATGCGTTGTCAGCCGTGAGGACTAAGATGGAATGCCTCCTTTCCAGTAAAAAGGGTCTCCGGTTCGGAGTGTAGAACTCACCATTCGAAACACAGCAGCATTAAGCTGCTATTTTACGCCGGTATTCTGTGAGAGCGTAGTCCTTCCCCGGTCGAGCCGACCCATTCGTGCTACAACTATACTATTAATATAGCTGCAACAAGGCTCTACCACGTATAAAAATATATATTCTAAAGTTTCATTAAAATAGATTCAGTAGTTTTTGCATAGAAGAGTTAACATCCATACATCCATACACCCTCACAAACTGTCACGTTTATGATATTAGTAGGATGTCTAAGCGAGTGTCTAAGCGAATTCAGCGCTTTTCCCAAAAGTGCCCAATGTGCCTAAAGAAGTTTCACTTCAAAAGATTTCATTTCAAAAAGTCTCAAAAGAATAATAAAATAAATAACAGTTTTATTACCAAAGGAAATTTTTATACAATTGATATTAGCACTGTTATGAGTGAAAGTATTTTATAATCGTGGCTACTTACTTGCGAGCGTGGCGAAGGCTGCCAGTAACATAATCGCGGGTACAGCGCAGTAGCTGGAATTGGCGGCGGCAAGTGGGGCCAGCAACAGAGCGCCTAAGGTCCAGCGAGCGCCGCACGCCTCGCTGCCGCCCAGTGCGCTCAGCACACGGCTAATTGCCGAGACTTTGTCGCGTTCCTCGGACGTCATTTCTATCTTATACTTATCGAATTGACTTCAAGCCTTAAACAAATTCACGAGCCACGTTGCAGTGTTCTTATGGTTTCAGCACATAAGTGTTTTTTATAGGTTAAGGGTGAGAAGCAAGCACATAGTTCACCAGATGATAAGTGGTTGCTGTAGACCATGACATCTACATCTATCCTCAATAAAGAATCAAAATATTAACTTATATCTAAAGCGCTTTTAATTCAGAGTGTAATAACCCGCTTTCTAAACACCTTTTTAATGGAATATAGGTGACGAACGAACACACCACGAGTCCACCTCTCGATAAGTGGATTTTATGACCCATAGACGTCTACATCTATCCTCGATTAAGAATCAAAATTTAAATGCTCTGCCATCCTCGAAGTCTAAGGTAGGATGTCTCGTTACTAGTAAAAAGCGTCTTCGGTTCTCTACACTCACATTACGAAAATAGCAGCATTAAGCTAATATATATATATATATATATATATATATATATATATATTCCCCGATCTAGGTTTAAACGTGGTAGAGCCATGCTGCAGCTATATTAGTAGTATAATTGTAGCACGAATGGGTCGGTTCGACCGGGGAAGGACCTCGCTCTCACAGAATACCAGCATAAAATAGCAGATTAACACTGCTGTGTTTCGTATGGGGAGTGTAGAGAACCGGAGACCCTTTTTATTGGAAAAGAGGCATTCCATCTTAGTTCTCACGGGTGACAACGCATCTGCATTTTGATTCTTTATTGAGGATAGATGTGGATGTCTATGGGTCACAGCACTCACTTACCATCAGGTGGACTGTATGCTAGTTTGTCACCCTATTCTACAAAAAAACCACTGAGCTACCACGGCTTTTTACTATCCTGACCTGATCCAACTCCACTCATTCGATCTGCAGATACCGTTACAGTCTATCAAAAGTCCACCGCTGAACATAGGTCTCCTATATAGATTCCCTTATAGAGACCAGTATATTTATCATAGGTGCCTCACTCGGCAGGCGGGTTAGCAACCGCTGTTTTTTTTATTGCTATTAGGAAGACGCTGCTGCCCATCTCCTGGTTTGTTTCTCTTTGTCGTATTTTACTACACCCACGGGATATTCTTGTACCCTTTCCAATAATTAATAGAAGTTTTCCGTGTGATGGTACCGTAAGAGAAACCATTAAAACATCTTGTCCCGTGGGTTGTACGTAAGGTTTGAATGTGGGATCGTGTATCTCAATGTTCTAATAGACTGTCGAATCGAATCTTTGACTCCAACCCAAACTGAGCTAACGTTTGCGTAAGATCACAAACTGTTGGTTTCCAGATATGTTTTTGTTGTGATTCTACGTATCTCTGGCACTACTATCTAGCTTATCAGCGACATTATGTCGGCGGTTTGGGAAAAGTTAGTGATTCAGGGTTATCATGCACACTTATGGCATTTCACAAATAATATCTCTTACTCACTTGATAACTTCACAAAAGGTATATAATGTTTAATTATACAATAGCCAATCTGATAAAAACCCTTTTACATATGGGAACTTACTGTGATCTCTTAACTACAGGATGTAACTACAGTATGGATACAATATTGGAACATGTTCAGCAATTTAGGGACGGATGATAGAAGAATAATAATGTTACGACTAACTGGTTCATTATTGGTATCATCCCGTAAACAATTCCTGTTGGTTATAGATCTCTCGAAATGTTGGAAGGATTGGTTGCGAAGAGAATATAATGTTTATATCAAGTAAAGGCGAGCAAAAAATTTACATTCGTTATGTATGAGTAAAATCAACGTTAAATAGAACACTAAGGAACATTCAGTTGTGCTCCAAAATAAGGATTTAAGAACAGTACTTTATTAAATAAATGATCGTTTAATCGAGAACATCATAATCCACTTCAATTGTATAACTGTTGGAAACTTATAGCTTTTTTATTTAGTTACCAATAATTTGGTTACAAATAATTCAAAACTCTAAAATCCAAACAAAGCAATACATAGATTTCATATGGAACTTACCATTATCACTTTTCACTTTGAGAACAAACACCTTTATAATTCATATAATTGCTCGATTCAATTAACTTCTTGCATTTTGACTATTTTATAATTCTTCTTGTCACTTGTATAGTTAAAAGTTTAGAATTTTCGTGGCTAGTACTCCGTTCGCCGGTAAATAAGGTCGATTTTCAATATTTATGCGACAAATCCGAGCAGTGTAGAGCTATATCTACGTCCCTCTCGTTAGCTTCGCAATCGATACGGAAAACTGTTAGGGTGTACTATATTTTGTTGAAAATGAAAGGAAAAACCATTTATGATAATTAAAAATATGATGTAATATAACTGCATACCGTACTACAAATTAAAAACATAGGAATGTCTTATATAAAATATATTAACTCCCTAATTTTTTTTGCTTTTTAAACATATAGAACAAGAGCCGTGGTGGCTCAGGGGCTAACCGCTCATCGTAAATTTTAGTGTAGGAAATCAAACTGATTTCGATCACCGCTGGCACCAATGAAAGTTTATAATTGCAACTTTAAATGCAGCATATCACGTGCTCGACGGTGAAGGAAAAATATCTTCAGGAACTAAGGAGAATCACACAGGTTGCATATTTCAAAAATAAAATAGTATTTAGAAGACATGTAAAGTGCTGGAGCATACGCACTGGAGCAGCGCCGCGAAATAATTGATTCACATCCCATCAGAAATGAGAGGAGGCCTATGCCTAGCAGTCGGACGTACATAATTATAATAATATAGGTAACTTTACTGTAACTTTATTCTTTGCTTTTAGTAGAGCAAAACTTTTTTCTTACTCGACATTTTTGATGGTTTTTAGGTAAAATTTCATATCAGAACTTTTCACGGATTAAGTGTTTCATACTCTTTTTCAAATTCGATACACTGTAGTTTAATTATTTAAATATTAATCCGAAGCAATGGCAAAAAGATATTATTTAAACATGTACTAATATGTACTGAAATCTTTGAAATCGTGGTTAGCATACAATTACTCGTTACTATGGCTTCGGAGGTTATATGTTTTACATATTGACCGATATCGGTATCACCTTTTTTGACTACATAATTTGTAGATTTTTTTTTATAGTAGGGTGACAAACGAGCACACAGCCCTCCTGATGGTAAGAGGTTGCTGTGAACCATAGACATCCACATCAATCCTCAATAAAGATTAAAAATGTAGATGCGTTGTCACTCGTGAGGACTAAGATGGAATGCCTCTTTTCCAGTAAAAAGGGTCTCCGGTTCTCTACACTCACCATACGAAACACAGCAGTGTTAAGCTGCTATTTTACGCTGGTATTCTGTGAGAACGTGGTCCTTCTGCGGTCGAGCCGACCCATTCGTGCTACAACTACTACTAATATAGCTGCAGCATGGCTCTACCACGTAAAAATTGTCAATGTGTTATAAATTCTATACAGAAACAAATGTTATGTTCGCATATATCATCATCATCATTACAGTCTGTTGTAAGTCCACTGCCGAACATATTCTTCGCTTATAAATTACCATTAAGAACGGTATTCAGCTATTTACATTTTGCATCTATCGACTATTATCGGCATACCTACAAAGACGGTACTCTATCTAGTTGGGATTACCCTACACACCTTCTCCATCGCCCTACAAAGTGTTTTCCAAAAGCAGCAGCCTTTCACTGAAATCCTTGTTTTAAATTAATATGTTGATTCCCATTATTTTTAATTTAATTAACAAACCGTTTACAGTCTATTGTTGATTATAATCGAATATACTTACATAGCACATGGTTTTTCTAAATATTAAAAATAAATAAACATCTGTCAGTTTTCCAATGTGCATTATTATAGAAGACGAACGATGAAGACTCTGTAATTGAGCATGTGGTTCACCTGTTGATAAGTATTTACCGGTACTGAATATTGACATTATGTCACTAAAGAAATCGTAGTGACAGTGGGCTCTTTTGAAAGGCCCTGTCTTGTCCGTGTCAAAAAAACTGCGGTCGATTTTATTTAACACTAGCTTTTTACCCGCAGATTCGCTCACGAGAGCATGAATTAGGAACATCATTAAATGCTGTTCCGCGCCAAATTTAGCAAAATTCGATTACTTTTAGAGTCCCCTCGGTGTCTGTGTCTTAACGTCCGTCGAAGATACTTTATGAATTCTAAAAGACTATTAGACGTAGGTGATTGGTGTATGACATAGATATAATATGCTACAGGAGCACGTAAATATACATGTCTAGAAACACCTACTATTTTTTATATTGCGCGTGTCTTCTGTGTAAATGTATCCATAAGAATGGTAAATTTTCTTAGAATCAACATTTATTATTATTATTATTATTTACATTTTACTCTTTACATTCATTCATAATTAAAATTTATTTAGTTTTAAAAAAATAATGATGAATTTCATGATCTTCTATCAATTTACGGTATAATGTTTATATGAGATATTTTATTCATATCATTGGTCCTATTTAACCCTTTCGCTGTTCCGTGCACCACATATGGGTCATTACTATTGTCTTACTATTGTTTCTGAAAACCGGACAGTGAAAGTGTTAATGTTGATGGGCACCATAAAATAGGTGTAGATATTTGTTTTACGTTGGAGTAGACTTCAAAATTGCATAAACACAGTTCTATAATGTTCTGTAATGTGTGGGACACCTTGTATATATAAACATCTTATTTCATAAAACTATAATGATAATGAAAATTTTACAATAATTGCAGCCAAATCAGATGTGGTCATTTTACATATCATCATCATCATCATCATTACAGCCCTTCATAAGTCCACTGCTGAACATAGGCCTCCCCCAAGGAATGCCACAAAACACGGTCCTGAGCCACCTGCATCCATCGACTTCCTGCATATCTTACCAGGTCGTCACTCCATCTAGTGGGGGACGCCCTACACTTCGTCTGCCGGTACGAGGCCGCCACTCGAGAACCTTTTTT